GGGGGTCCCCGGGCATAGCAAAGGGGGGTGTCCTGGTAGGGCTGGGGGTCCCCAGCTGGGGGGTCCAGGGGCTCAGCAATGTTGGAGGGCCCTGCATGGCTGGGGTTTCTGGGAGCACTGGGGAGGTCCCAGGGGTTCTGGTAGGGCTGGGGGTGCCCAGCAAGACTGGGGGTCCCCACCAGGGCTCAGTTATGCTCCCGTTTGCTCCCGAGTCTTATTCCCACTTTTTCCATGGATGTGTCAGGGGACCAAAGCACCCGAAAGGGTGGAAATCCCCAGACCACCCCGTGGCCGGCGTCAAGCAGCATTGCACCACTTCCAGCTCGGGGCCCTTCCGCTTGCACAACGCTCGCCGCGGTCCTGCCACCGCCACTAACACCCGCCATGGCCCTACCACCGCCACTGCCACCCGCCATAGTCCTGCCACCACCACTGCCACCGGCAAAATCCCACAACTCCAGCAACTGGCCAAGCTGGACTGGGACCTCCGGGGTCTCCAGCCCGCTCAGAGGGACCCAGGCAGGGGACACCCCTGGGTGAGCCCCAGAGTGTCCCTTCCTGCATCAGCCCCCAAATCCCAACCATCCCCATTGCTCCCACTCCAGAAATCCCAAACAAGGCGGCACTGTCCCCGCTCAGTCAGGTGTCTGTCCTGCGCCTGTCCTGAGCCGTTGGGGCAGCCCTGGCTGATAATACCCCGAGTGTTTGAGACCTTGTTTCAGCTGAAGAGCCCTTTTTTTTTTTTTTTTTTTTTTTTGCTTCTTGTGCTGCCAGAGGACCTTGTCCCCCACTACAGCCCCCCCACCCCAACGATGTGTCTGCTGGGTCTGAGCAGCCCTCCTGAAACCACCAGGTCCAAAGCCGCTGCAGTGAAGAGATTTCGGTCCCTGCGGTGCAGAGGGACCCCACATCACCACCTCCCCCATCTTCACCCATGGGATTTGGCCCCAAGTCCCTTCTCCTCTCAGGGAGGGACGTCATAGGTTTGGGTTGTCACACGTGAGCCACCCCCTTCAGTAGGTGACACCCCGAAGTGAAGGGATTGGGCAGGGGGATGGGTCACATCCAGCTCCCCACAGGGCTGCCCAGCCAAGCCGCACCCCATGGCCTTGGGATCCCCAAAACCACAGCAGCTTGACCCCCTGGAGGGATCAGCATCCTTTGCCGGGCCTCTGGTTGGCATTTTCCCCGCACCAGGCACTGGCGGGGCCGAGCTGAGACCGGGTCTATTTAGGAGCAGCGGACATGGGATCCTCTTGGCTCATGGCAGCAGCAGGGAGAGGAGGAGGAGAAGGAGGAGGAGGAGGAGGCAGAAATAGCCCAGCTGAAAGCCGAGCACTGGCAAAAGGACTTGGCACCAGCTGAAAAGAGCAGCACACAGGGAATGGAGAGTAAAAATGAGAAAAAAAAAACTAAATCCCAAAGGAATGTTGATCCCAGGCAAAGCCCAGAGGAGAGGAGGGCGAGGGCTGCTCTCAGCCTCTCAGGTGTGTGGATACGGCCTGTGCCCCCCCAAAAAGGGTGTTTCAGGGCTCAGCAGTGGCCAGGGCAGGGAGATTCACAGGTCGGAGGGGTTGCACTGGGGTTTTCTTTGCTGTCCTGCTGCCTGGGATCCCCATCCCTCCGACACCACATCAGCGCAGGGGCTGTGGTCATGGCCCAGTGCCCACGGGTGCTGTGGTGGGGAGCAGGGGGTAGCAGGGCTGCACAAGGTGCCCCCCATCCCTTGGTTCAAAGCAGCCCTTCTCCCAGCCCTGGCAGTGATGTCGGCTTTGGGTGTCTCCCTCCTATTTCTAGCTCCACATCTGGCTTCAAACACAAAGCCAAGATATTTTTGCCATGCAGCATCAGGACCAAACACCTCCAGATTCAGCAACGCTGCAAAAAAAACCCTTATCTGGGTTTTTATGCACCAAACCTCCCTGCGCTTGATTTGCAAAGAGTCCTCCTCCGGCCCAAAGTTTGGGGGTACCACAGCACCCTATTTCTTTGCCTGCAGGTAAAAAGAAACGTTTGCCAGCTCCTTGGAGGCTGAAAATGATCCATTATCCCCCCAGATCGTGAGCTGCAGCCTTCAGGAGTGAATCGGGAACCGCTGCAGAAAATCTCCCATCCTCTGTAGGTTTAATATATCCCCATCTTGGGGGTCCAGTGCGCAGGATCCCCTCCTGCACGTCCACGTCGGCCGTCCTCCCCCTCCCTGGCGCGGGTGGGAGCTGCTGACTCATCTGCCTGTCATCTCCCACCCCCCGCTCCGACGAAGGGGAATTCATCGGGCGGCTTCGAGGGGCTGCATTGCAGACCCAGACGCGCCAGCAGACAAAAGCGACGCTGCGACACCCGCGGCTTCCCAGCACAAAGAGCCTGGCCGGCATCGAGCCCATCCATCCATCCTCGACAGGTAAGGGATGGTGGGATGCAGGCTGAGGGGGATGAGAAGCAAGAGGATGCTTTATTTTGGAAAAGACTTGGGTGGAGGGAGGCATTGGCACCCCAGGATTTTGGGGGGGGGGGTGAGCAGCAACCAGCAGGGATTAATCAGATTAAGATATTTTTGCCCCCAAGGGACAAGCGGACCACACCGATCCAAGGGGAGATGCTCTTTCTTGGGGGTGACAGGCAACGCAGGAGGGTATTTTTTCCCCGCATCAATTGCCTTTTCTGGATATTTGAATTTTTTATTTCATGTCACTAAACTCCCTTTTCCCCCCTTTGAAGCTTTAAAATCCATTGTCCGCAACAGCCATCAGCATTAAATAACTCACTGCTGCTGTGCAGAAAGATACCCAGGGATACATCCCCAGAGAGGAAGCTATTTCAAAGCACCATGGCTCAATTTCCCCGGGGGGGGTGTGACACAGGAGCCTTTCATAGCCTCTGAGTTACATCGGGAATCTTAAATTTAGCAGCTGGTCACCCCTCATCGCACAGACCGGGAGTGAGAGAGGGTGTGATTCAAGGTATGTCTGAATCATCCTTTAGGATTCCAATTCCCAGGGCTTAAAACCGGGGAATCGGTGGGGAAAGGAGGATATTTTGGGTCCGTCAGTTGATTTTATTTTTTCCCCACCTCTGTTGTCAAATGTGCAGAGGTGCATGACATAATTCTGCCAGGGAAAAGCAAGTCAGCGTGGCAGTGACTCAGCTCAGGCCGTGCCGTGCCGGAGAAAAAGCTGAACCACATCTCCTCCCGCTCTTTCCCAATTCTCCGTGGATCCGGGTGGGGTTGCGGGAGGGGCTCTGCGGCATGGAACAGCAGCATGGAATAGCAGGATGGCATGGCACGGCAGGATGGTGGGCACACAGCCGGCACCAGCAGGGTGGGTGGGGTGCGATGGCAATGCCGAGCGATGCTTCTTCCAGCCCTTTCTAGAGGGTTCGGTTGTGGTCCCCTGGGGCAGTGAAATGCCATGCAGGCTGGGGAGGGAGGGGACAGCGTGGGCTCTGTGGGTGGTGGGGGGATGCGCAGGGACCCCCTTTCGCTTCCCGCTCCATGGGGGGCTTGGCACAGGGAAAGGGTGAGACCCTTCTGCATGATTTGGTGGGAAAAGGGTTCATTTGGATCCCAGTTCCTGTCCCTCCAGGCAGAGCGGGATGTCGGGGACAGCCCGTCTCTGCTCCCCACTGATGCCACCCCACAGACATCAAGCTGCCCAGGAT